CAAGGCGTGGGGAGGGCGCTGTTGAGGTAGCAGAACACAGTTTTCGCCCTATGGGGATTTCTATAGTTAAGGACCCCAAGATGACTCACTTCGACGCGGTAAAAATTATAGCAGGGTGCACTTCACAAATACGAAAATCGAATATGTTTGAGAAGACGGTACAAACTACAAAATATCTAGAAACCAAAAAATCCTGTCGGCGTATCTGCTCGTAACGTACACTTTGAAATCGCCTCCTACGGACGTGACCTGAACTGCAGCCGACTCACCCGGAAAGCCAGTTGCACAATACGGCGCATTTATACACGAACTGCAAAACCTTCACAAATCAAATCATACAGTCTCAAACCCGATACATTCCTACACCACACAGCACAATTTACATCTGGCTGACGCTCTTATCAGGCTTTCTACCCAGCCTTCAAGAATATTCGCTGCACTACTTTCTATACCCGCGTCAGGTCTATACCTGTGACCTGCTACCTTGACGCCTGCATTCACGAGTTGCACATTCCCATGATCCTTTGCGCCCAGGGTAGGTCACGTGGGCGTCAGGGTAGGGAAAGGTCGCGGTAAACCACGTGACTCATCCTCGGCTCTGGTCGGAAGAAGGTGCCCTAAGCGATATCTGGCCGATAGTAGGCTGGGAGCATTCACATTTTCACGTAGTATGTTGAATCAACCCTATCCTATCCCATACCGATGGTCATGGAGCAAAAATTCGATGCCGCTTTGCCGTACGAACGCCGTACGAACGCCGTGAAAAACTACGTGCCTCCCGCCGCCGGCAGTGGTGTCAGCCATTTTTTAAATTTCCGAGCGCTCGCGAACACTTCCGACTTCTTCCGACCAGAGCCGAGGATGAGTCACGTGGTTTACCGCGACCTTTCCCACCCTTTCCCTACCCTGACGCCCACGTGACCTACCCTGGGCGCAAAGGATCCTGGGAATGTGCAACTCGTGAATGACCCTCAAAAGGTTAAAGGTCATGGGGCATGGAGAAGTCATAAAGAAGTGAAATTTTGTTTTGGGTGTAACTATTGTTCTTTTGTTAGTATATTGATGACGAAATTGTTTACAAGGTAAGTGGGGATTAGAAAAGGATGAGAAGGAACCCTGTAAAAGGTAAAGCACACACAAAAAACATATTGTAAGTTACACTACAATGACTATGTACAACGCAAACTTGTCTATATTAGCAACCGCTAATATTACTATCTAGTTTAAAACTGGTTTCACCTACAACATCTTCTTTGTGCAAATTGTAGGTGGGGTTTTTGAGTCCTGATTGAGGACAAATGTAGAATAGAAAGAAGAAATGAATGACCCAAGAACAACACCAACAGCACCAGTACAATATTTCACACTTAACAAACATCTATTGGTGGCATTATGGAGGTACAAATCAGACTACCTCTATGGTGGCATTTGCAAAACAATAATTATAAAATATCTGTTGACATAATCAATAAATAGAAACATTATACTAAAATCAATAAATAGACACATTATACTAGCATAATTAGCAAAGAATTTACCCTCTGTGAGGGATCTCAACTTGCATTGTACAATTTCTAAAAGCTTATCATATAGACAAAATACTTTCCAGCCAGGCAAAAACATGGTCAATGCAGACATTTTGCATTGTAATTAACAACTGCTACTTAAGTCTCAATTACAATTTTGAAGCCTAACTATTATATGATAATTTAACAATGATTACCCAACATAGCCAATCTAGAATAGACTTCCAAACTGCTTAGAATTCCAGAACCATTAAAATAGGTACATGTATAATAAAAAATACTTGCTTGAGTAACTGTTTTCTTGTGTAACGGTGGGAAGCTAGAGAATCATTTAAACATCCAGGATGGGTTTTTTTTTTGGTCTCAACACCTCTTTCTGTTTGTAACACCGAAGAGCTGGTAAAACAGCTGTTTAACACCCCCGAATAGCCAAACACTTGGTTTGTTCTAGCAGCAATAAGTAGGTCGGACTGTTCCAAACTGTCCTATGGTGGGGGTGGCCAATCGGTGAGGTGAATTCACTAAGTACTTTGGATTGGTGGGTCCAGAAAACTTCATAGCTTTAATATATATATAGAATATACATTTTCTTTATTTAGAGCGAGAAAATACAATATCATTGTGCTCCTAGGTCAAATCTAAGCCACTTTTTTTTACTCATTGGTCAACTATTCATCAAGCAGTGTGATGTGCTGTTGTATCGGTGGAGCTCACAAAATTTAAAACTGAAGCAGCCATTCTGTGGATCCATATCTTCACCTGTAGTGCAACTGTTGACCAGTTAAATATAATCTATTAATCTATACTAATCAATCAGTCATTGATCAGTAACCATTCATCAATAGTAATAAATCATGGGTACATTCTGTACTTTACTGCATCAGTAGGAAGGGGGAATATTTTTTGCTGCAGTTCTGCTGAATGCTGAATGGGGGCGTTACTGCACTGCACTGACCCCAGGGCTGTCCACAGGTACTTTACTGCATCATTGGGTTCAGGTTTACGAAAGACCAAAGGTACAATTCAACATGGCTTCATTGGGTCAGTTCTCATAGTTCAAAATCTATTTCTCTTCGTTCAAAACCAATTTCTCTTCGTTCAAAACCAATGTCTGATTGTTCAATACCCATTTCTCTTTGTTCAAAACCATTTGTTTTCATTCAAAATTAATTTCTCTTCTGAGAAATAGGTTTTGAACGATGAGAACTGACCAGATGAAGCCTTTTTGAATAGCACCTTGGGGGGGGGGGAATAGTTACTGCAGTTCTGCTAAAACTGAATGGGGGCGCTACTGCACTGCATTGTTCCCTGGCCCCAGAAGACTGGAGCTGTCTACAATTACTGCAGAATTTTAGAAGGAATTTTACTGCATCGGATGCATCCAGTGGCAGATGGACACAGTCTTTTGCGGCCACTAAAACATCTGCTTTGTTGGTAACATTTTAACTGCAGTTCTGCTAAACACTGAATGGGGGCGCTACTGCACTGCGTTGTCCCCAGGGCCCAGCACACTGGAGCTGTCCACAGGACTGCTGATGTACATCTCGTCCACCTGAATCGTCGCCACTCGCTCCTCCACCTCCTGGAACGGGTTCAGTTCCTCCGGATACTGCAAGGTGGCGCTGTTTTCAGTACTACCAAAAGGCTCTTCAAACGGATTCTGTTCCTGGGGGTAGTCATCAGAACGGCTTTTCCGTTTGGAGGTTCTGGGATGTGGCAAGTCAATATGTGGCGAATCGGGATGTTGCGAGTCTACATGTGGCGATTCGAGATGTAGCGAGTTTGTATCTGTTTGTGGTTGGTTCATGAGCGTCTCGTCTGACGGACTTTCTCCCATCATCCTTTGCATCTGCTCTAGCAGCGGAAATGACGCCAGCGTGTCTTTGTTGTTGTTGTTGTTTGCATTGCTGCTGTTTACGATTTCCCGGTTTGTTCCCATGGTAACAGCTGTATTGTCAACAACTCTCTTGTCCTCTGATTGGTCAGATATGACCTGTTGTTGTTGTTCTGTGACCTCTAGGCCGTTTCCGTTCGCGGGAAGGTTTGTTCCGTTCTGATGGATGTACTTTTCCGGGATTTTCCCGTTCGCGATGTCTTCCCAGGTGCCCAACTCGTGGCCGTTTCTACATACCAGCAGTTTCCGCCCCTCCTCCACACCTACAGCACATTGAATCAAATCAAATCAATCTTTATTCAAACCACTCACATTCTCAGTGTGAATTCTGACAATTCAATGGTCTGTAGACCCATTGTACACTTAATAACACTCAAGTAATGTAAACAATCTATAACGGGAAAGACATATATACAAAAATAGTTACACATATTAAAGTATATTAAAGTAGTAACAGACAAGTATGTAGCTAGCCTTCCTGGAGTTAGACATACATCATACAAACTATATCAAAATTGAAACATTATTCACATCAAAATTGAAACATTACTTACATACAACTTAACAAAAAACTTTCAGTGTACATACCCACAGTGTCATGTTCGAACACAGCTGGCTCCGGAAGCTTCTCTAAAACGCAGGCGGGACACACGATGCTGTCCGCATCCCGGTTCCCATGGTTACCGCTCCGCAGCCTCTTCCGGAAGCGTTCCGGTATTGTGCCCTTCAGAAGGTCGTTCCAGGTGCCGAGAACGTGGCTGTTACGACAGGTGAGCTCCACCCCCTCCGGATCCTGCTGCTGGCTGTTCCGCCGGGTGGCCTGCACCCCCTCTGGATCCGGGCTGTTCTCTTCGTCGCGAGGGAAGAATGCTGGCGCGGGGTTTCCCTCCAGCAAACAGCAGGGGCAGACGACCTTTTCCCGCTGGGTCAGTGCCGCCGACGGTTTTCCAGCGAAGATTTCTCGCAGGATTTCTCGCACGTGTTCCATTCCGCAACATGGGCGCTCACCGCGAACTATGACCTGTGGGAGGGGGGAAAACAGAAGTGAGTTACATTGATGCATGATGGTCTAGCTCAACAAACTACTGTTTTTTCATTTCTACTCAAACACATTCACAATAATATTTGGTGAGCAGCCCCTCTAGCTCTGTCCTGCTACATGATGTAACTCAACACCACAGGCTATCTGCTACAGCACCAGTTACCATGGTGACAGATCAGACATCTTATCCAGGTCAATTTGAAAGTTTATTTGTCTGGAGAAGAAGAGGAAAAAGAGGAAGAAACTGAGCAAAAAAAAATATGTTTTCTTTCTGTGAAGGTACACATGATGTAACCCAACACCGTTACCATCTTGACAGAAGTCTGGTTCAGGTCGTTGACCTTACCTATTTGGAGAAGAAGAAGAGGAAACAGAGCTAAAACAAACATAACAAAAACCCACCTCCAGACTGTGGCTCCTTGGCCACTTTTCGACTGCTGGCATATCTTTGGTAGACACTTCTCTGGCTACTTCCTTGCCACCGTATGATCTGCTTGGAGCCAGCCAGCCCAATAATTTAATAAATTTATTGAAGTTAAATGAATTTATTAAAAAAACAAACCCCACCTCCAGGCTGCGGCTCCTGGGGTTCAGGTAAAAGTGCATCTTCTGTGTCGGCACGAAGTCGGCTCGCGACGAACTCTCGCTGTCAGAACTCTCGAACACGACCGCCGCCGACTTCTGCTGGTCGGCCTCCGGTAGATCTGGCTCCTTTTGAATGAATGAATGAATCTTTATTCAACTTGCAGACATTACAATTGCCTGAATTGTGTTGAATTTACACAGTATAAAATATTAAAATACTAAGTATTAAAAGCATTAACAATTATTTACATTAAAATACGTTTGTCATAAAATGTTCTGGAATCATTTATACTGGTCAGAGTTGATGCATTCATATACATATAAAATAACTACATATTAAATACATTGCGACATACTGTCGTGGTAAGTCAGTACAGAAATACACTGTGTCGTCGGGTCAATGGGCTAATCCCTGATTTAGGAGATGTGAGATTTTGGGCCAGGGAGAAAATGGTTTTATTCACTCGCAACCTTTAAAAAATACATCCACATAGAGTCACCTGGACACTTTGTTTCACTTGACACTGTAAGGATTTTGGACACTAGTATACAAGACTATTTCCTGAGAGGGGTGAATGAGGCCATCAGGGCCCACCACCCTTCACTTTACACAGGGGCCAACATCGTCTACCAGATACCTTTGACCCAGTGTTGACGTCACACTTCAAAGAAGCCACGTGACAAGCCTCACTGGGTCAGTCTACTGAGGAAGACCAGAGTAACTGGTGGAAAGCTCTAGGTGAGAGAACGTTTTGTGTTGGATCTAAAGTGTTAACTCTAAACATGTAGCTACCAACACAGATGAACTTTCATGACAGTAAAGTTGTTGCTTACATAATCGGTCTCCTCCTGGGCCAGAGACTCTGAGGATGTCGATCGCGATTTCTGTTCCTCTGAAAACTCTGGCACGTCCAGGAGGTGGGCGATTCGGGAGTCTTCGGCGATACGGGAGTCCTCGCTGTTTTCCTCGGAGGCTGCAGTGTCGAGTTTCTCCGCCTCGCGGACGTGCCAGGCGTCGCCATGGGAGATGTTTCGCCTCCGTCGGCAGACCGGACAGCCGGTCGGGACGCTGCTGCTCACGTACACCACATGGTTCTGATGGAGGGAAGGAATGAAGAAAGGAATGAACGAATGAACACTGCTGCTCACCAAGTAAGTTAAATACAAGTATTTAACCTCCTTGTGCTCACATACACTACATGTTTCTGATGGAGGGAAGGAAGGCATGAAGGAAGAAATAGTTTGTTCTGACAGAGCTCAGAATCCAATTTCTGACATACTGAGAGGTAAATCATGGGGTTGGGACTGAGTTGTTGGCAGTCTTTTTGTTGGCAATGTTTTTGTACATTTATGATCTTTGTCAATTTTGTTCATGAAGTTTCATGGATTGGTTTAAGCATATTTTGGTCACATGCCACAAAGTTCCTGCAACTGATGGAAAAATGGATGTTGGCTAGGTCGCTGGTACAGAGCATGTCTGAGTGAGCATGTCTAACCCTCGGAAGTCAACAACAATAGACGATAAACTGGATAGTGAGTGAGTGAGAACTATGTTACCTGTCTGTACACAGCTGGGTTCTTGACCAGCAGTTTGGATCGGGCGCGGTCACATTCCACCGCAGCCACCAGGGTAGAGAAGAACGAGAGTGGGTAGCGGTCGAAGCTGAACACCGACGTGATCTGGTTTTCTTCCGGAGACAACTCTGACTCCCAGATCACCTCTTCCGGACGACAGGCGGGGATTCGGCCCGGGAAAATGTCCTGCTCCAAATCACAAACCTGCAAAGCAAAAATAAACTTTATTTTAAAATCAATATGGCAGATCAGGGACAACAGCAGCAGAATGATTGTACATGATGCACATTACATAGTGATCTTGACTTACCCACATCACACATGCCTGAGTTATAAAACATTGTAAGGCATTACCATTACGATCGAACATGATAAGATTTAGGCTACAGCAAGTAATTTCTACGGATGACATCAGGGCACGCATTAATTTTGCCTGATTTTGAAAAAAAAAAAGAAATTGTTTTTCCCTCTGCCTTTTGTCAACTTGCCAAAAATGGGCAAATGCCTTCATGTGACAATCAAGGATGCAGCAAACCTGAGGCACAATGGTTTGTGTTCGATCGCAAATGTTGACACTGATATGTCCCGTCGCATGCGCATCCAATCCAACCCAGTATTGTAGCTGCCCATGATGGTATGGTATGGCAGTTTTGCTAGAATTTTTAGTTAATTGAACTACCTTGACACTGATGCGGACATGTCTGAACAGGTCCAGCAGCATCCCATGGTACCTCTCCTCCACATCAGGCCACACCTCTGGCAGGAGGCTGTGCTCCAGGTATCCCTCACTGCTGATTGGTGGATTCTCCCGGTCATGTGACAGGAGCTTCCCCAGCTGATTGGTCAGCCACTTGGTGCTTAGAAAGACGTGATTGGCCAGTTGTGGCGCGTCGGAGTAGTGCAGGAAGACGCCCTGCTGGTGGAAATGCTGAGTCATCACAGTGATTTCCTCTTCTGAGAGAATCCCGCACGTCATCGCGATGGCACAGTACACGTCAAACCTGGAGCAGGAACATTCTTGGTTAACTTAAAGTAAAGAGACTATTTTTACACAACCGAGGCTTTTATTCAGCCGACGTTTCGGTGACTGTCTGTCACCTTCCTCAGGGCAATTCTGGACGTTAAATGGAGGTCCCGTATTTGGGATAGCCACACCCCACGCACGTTAAATAACCCACCACACCTTTCGAAAAAGAGTAGGGGCATGCCCCGGTGTGCGATGGTACAAATTCTACAATCCGGAGTCTTGCCAAGAATTGGCATGCCAGAATGATCAGTATGATGATCGTGGGCATTAAAAGGAAGAAGAAGAACAAACGTACGGCATGATTGGGTGAGTCTGGAGGTGGGCGTTTTGTGTCGGAGCTTCGTAGCGCAGGAATCGGATCATCTCGCTCCATTTTTTCGGGATGTTGGGGCAAGGATCACGCAGAAGCTGGGCGTAACCCTCCATGGCGTATTTGAGCTGTTCGATGCTCTCATTGTGGATCCGGTTACTGATGCTGAAGAGAGGCTTCGGACAGGGACGCTTGCCGCTCACCTATGGACGAACAAAACCAAAACCAAACGGAATGAAAAAGATACGACACACAAAAAAACAGTTACTGAAGCAACTGGATAGATTTTGTTGTTGAGTTGTTTGATGCTCTCGTGGTGGATCCGGTTAATGATACTGAAGAGTGGCTTCAGGCAGGGCTGCTTGCCGCTTACCTACAGATGAAACCAAACATTATCACAAAAGTTCATCTGTGTAAATTCATCATATTAAAATGTAGAACTTTATTCCAACACAGAGATCACCTTTTCAACAACCACTGTCCCCTTCATCAGGATAGTTAATGACCAATTGCTTCTGATTAAACCAGTAGCGATTCTTTTCGGTGTAAGTGGTTCAAACCTTACAGCCTGGTCTTGGGCAGATTGTATTTACATGTACAAAACTGGTGTGTTACGCCTAAAGCTAACAAACAAACAAACAAACAAATATTAACAAAATTACCTCGAAGTAGCCCAGGATGTGCGGAGACTCGAATTCGTCCGCTTTCCCAAAGCTCCACCTCCGCCCGAGGTCTCCCGACGGGCTCCGCTGCCGAAAGCTGTCCACCGTGACGTACCCGGGCCCGTTACGGGTTTCGGACACGCGGTAGAGATGGTCGGCTTTCTGGCACAGCAGGCAGTTCCCGATGGAAGCTTCGCCACTAAACGTTTCACGATGGGACGGGCGCGCTCGCTGTAACAACGCGTTCACCTGTGGGAGGGAAGGGAAGAATGGGTTAGAATGAAAATGTAAAAAATACAAACTTAGTCAAGAAACTAGATAGATCATCTGAAGAGCCAGACATCTCAGGCAGCATCTACTATCTCTCATCCATTTTCTCGAGCAGCAAGGGGAAAGGACAAAATCTTGATTGACAATTAGCTCAACTTCACACTGATAGTCTTCCTGTGGAACTAGAACTAGACAGAACTAGCACTAGAACTATCAAAAACTGAGCCTGATCCTAACCCCAACCCATTCAGGCATGGAACTCCTATACTGCCCTTACCTTGCCCCATGTGTAGTCGAGGATGTCCTTGTTTAGTCGTTTGTCGTCGACGTGCGTCCCCACCAGAATCACGTACGCCATCGGAGCGTGCTCACCGATCTTCGTCAGCGAAGCCTCAAGTCGGTCCGTAAGGTCACTGTCCGGGTCAACGACCTCCACGCTGAGGTCAAAGGTCACCAGATAGAGGCAGCGGCGCGGGAGGAAGGGCAGCTGGGTCTGGAACGTGGCACCGTCGTCTCCCGCAAGGTCAAACACTCGCAGCTGGAACGAGTGAATGAATGAAGGAAGGAATGAATATATGGGAAATTGCATTTTATTTTCTATCAAGCAAGATTGCTAGAACACATGCAGTGACATGGCATCCTCTTCGTAACAGTGACATGGCTTTCTCTTTGTAAATATGTGCATTCCAATGCTCTCCCAAGGGAGGAATAAAGACAGATAAGAAGAATGACTGAAATTTTGCTATAGTGTCTAGAATCCATCCAATATTGGCTTATTAGTATGGTTCTACAGTATTTGTATGTAAGACATAACAATCAACATACTGGCAAACATAACCAACTGAGAGTCCTGACCTGTATCTCCGGCAGGTTGACGTCTGCAATGTCGATGTACGCGGTGTTTGCCGGGTCTGGCACGGTTCCGATCCAGTACTTACGCTGCATGCCCTGCAACAAGGTCGTCTTCCCTACACCCTGGGAGGAAGGAACAAATGAAGGAATGAATGAAGGAATGAAAGAATGAAGGAATGAATGAATGATGTAGTCGGTTCTCGCCGGGTCCGGCACGGCTCCGATCCAGTACTTACGCTGCATGCCCTGCAACAAGGTCGTCTTCCCTACACCCTGGGAGGAAAAAAGTTTTTCTTTCTTTTTTCTTTTCTATCATGTGCTGATGTAAACAATAGCCCGGGTTGTAACACTCCTGGCTAATCATTGGTTTACAGCAACTGCAAAGTTCTAGCTACATGTAGAAGATGTAGAAGAGTGTACTCTTCTTAATCTTGGTCACCATGTAGTGTTGGCTTACATTATGTAGCAAGTGGCCGGACAGAGTTGGACGGGCTGGTCATCATAAATATATCTTATCTACCCCCGATTTACCTTGCCTCCCATGAGGACAACCGGACAGGTGCAGGCACGCCAGCACATGCTGCATAATGTAACCCAAGATCACAGGGTGTCTGCTACAGCACCAGTTACCATGGTGACAGATGGTCACACTCACCTTGCCCCCCATGAGGACAACCCGCACAGTTCGATCCTCCACGGTTTCCCCCAGGTACGGCCGCAGGTACGCCAGAACGTGCTGCAGTGGCTGTGCCAGGATGTTGGGCTGCGGAAACTCCACCGGATTCTCCTGCAGCTGGAGGTAACGCAGCTGACGCAGCAAACCCAGCTCAAACGGCAGCTTCGTGATCTGGAATAAAGAGATGTATAAAGTTAAAACTTTTGATCCAACACAAAAAAGTTCTCTCATCTAGAGCTTTTCGACCAGTCACTCTGGTCTTCCTCAGTAGACTGACCCAGTGAGGCTTGTCACGTGGCTTCTATGAAGTGTGAACACTAGGTCAAAGGTATCTGGTATACGATGTACACAACCTTGCGAGGGATGAAGATGTTAATTAAGTAAGTAAGTAAGTAAGTATTTACCTCGTTGTTGTTGACAAACAGGGACACCAGCGTGTTGGCCAGCTGACCGAGCTCGTGTGGAAGTTCCCGGAGTGAGTTGTGGTCAGCCGCAAGGTAGCGGAGTGCGTGGCACTTCCCAATGCCTACCGGCAGGCTGTGGAGGTACATGAATAACAACTAAGAACAAGAAACAGTCATGCCTTCAAATATCAGAGTTATCAACCAAGAATTGAGTTGTTTATCGAACTTGTATTTTCCAAGAACTATCATAGAGTGGAACTCGTTGCTACCAAGCACCGTTGGGGCATCATCACTAGAAAGCTTTAAACAACTCCTGCAATCAAATGTGCAAGGATTGAGAGAGAAAGAAAGAGAGAGAGAGGGAGACAGAGAGGGAGACAGAGAGAGGGAGACAGAGAGAGAGAGGGAGAGAGAGGGAGAGAGAGGGAGAGTGAGAAGGAGAGTGAGAAAGAGAGAGAGGGAGACAGAGAGGGACGGAGAGAGAGAAAGAAAGAGAGAGAAGGAGACAGAGAGGGGGAGAGAGAGAGAGAGAGAGAGAGAGAGAGAGAGAGAAAGAAGAGAGAGCGAGATCGTCACCTGCGTATGTGGTTGAAGCTGACCCTCAGGACCTCCAGGTTGGACAGCTCTCCGATGTCATCAGGCAGCATGGTGAGGCGGGTGTTCAGCAGGACCAGCACAGTCAGCTGGGACCTGGGGGGGAGTTAAAAAGTTAATGGGGGTGAGGGGGGACAACATTTCACATGACACAGTTTTGGACCTGGGGGGAGGAGGGGACAGCATTCAGAAAGACTTACATGTGTGTATAAATTATGTACATACAGAATGACCAGTGCAATGGCCAAGTGGGTAGAGTGTTCACCTCGCATTCAGTAGGTCGTGAGTTTGATCCCTGGCTGAAAGACTTTAAGACTTAGTTCATACTGCTTTCTCTGCTTCCTTAGGCTTTAGCACTCAGCATGTGGGAAAGAGTATGGGAGATAAACACACACCACTACCAGTGGACTAGCCCCCTGTTGCCTTTTGGCGTGACACACCAGCTTCTGTATCTGTATTAAGCCTGTATGGCACCAGCTTCACAGGCACGTGGCGCAACGGCAGCTGGCTACATTACACCAAACAACTTGTTGAACAACTAACTCTAAACATTGTTTAAAGCTATCTTCTGCTGTCTGACTGAGCTGTCCATCACCCACCTGTGGAACGGCATGCTGGGAACCTTGCGTATTTCGCCATTGACGCCCATCAGCAAACACAGCTTCGACCACTTCTCTTCCTGGAAGGCTTCGTACGGGAAAAACCCTGGCTTCATGGTGTTTAACAGGTATAGTGTACGGACTGGCTTCTCACGAGAGATGGAACGTACCTGGTTTAACAGATAACACATATTAGGCACAAAAAAATACATTATGTAGCAAGTGGCAGGACAGTGCTTGAGGGGCTGGGCACCATATATGAAAGCTTTGTATGGGAGTAAACCCTGGCTTCATGGTGTTCAGCAGGTACAGGGTATGGACTGGCTTCTCACGAGATATGGAACGCACCTACATTAACAGATAACATGTGTTGGATTACATTACTGTATGTAGCAAGTAGCAGGACAGAGTTTGAGGGGCTGGTTATTCTTACACAAACACATTCATATATATATGGTGACCATGCAGCCCCTCTTGAACTCAGTTCTGCATGGCACTTGCAACATGATGTAACCCAACACCAGTTACCATGGTGACAGACGTCTGGTCCTGGTCATTGACCTTATTTGTTTGGAGAAGAAGAAGAGGAAGAAACTGAGCAAAAACAAACAAACAAACAAACCGAGAGTGCGACGTCCTCGAAGGTGTGTGCCACGACGCGCATGGACAGGAACTCCTTCACGTGGTCCAGCCGGTCGCGGTCGAGAGCGCGGGAAAGTTCGGGAAATCCCGCCGTTTGGACGGCTTCGATCCGCCCTTCCATAGTCTGGACTTCAACGTCACATGCTTTGGTCATCCGGGAGATGTTTTCTACAAGCTGGACAGCAGGGGAAAAAAAAGTCAGTTTTAAAGATTAAAAAGTCAAAACATCTGCATCGGTGAAGGTTAGACATCCAGGTAATAAGATATGCTAAAAACAGTTACTCAAGCAACTGGACAAAATTTATTTTGATTTTGGAAACGGTCAGACGTTTCAGGTAGCATCCACTACATTTCGTCAGTGACACTAGAGAGTTGTCAGGAATCGTCTTCTTTTATTTGCAAATCAATCAATTGTTCATACTTATAAACCTGCTTTTCTGACAACTCTACCTGAAATGTCTGACTGTTTCCATATCCAGTTGCTTGAGTATCTGTTTTTTTGCGTACCGAAACATGCTACATTGTACGAAGCAAGCTTTTATCAGGAGAGCGAATTCAAAATGAACTGTTTTCAAAATACACAGAGATCAAACAAAAACTGGCTCCCTCTGGGCCTGACCTCTGACCTTTCTGGTGTCATGTGGTTTTTCGTAGTTCTCCAGCAGGTGGTTCAAAATGTCGAACCTGCCGACCTCCGCCTCATCCACAGCTAACCTCCATAGGCTCTCCATCATCTGTCAATCAAACAGGGCACATGTCAATCACACAGGGCACATGTCAGTCACACAGGGCACATGTCAGTCACACAGGGCACACGTCAATCACACAGGGCACATGTCAATCATACAGGGCACATGTCAATCAAATCTGCCTCATCCACAGCCAGCCGCCACAGGCTCTCCATCATCTGTCAATCATACAGGGCATAGATGTCAATCAAAATCTTATCTGCCAATCAAATTGCCAATCAAAAAAACCTTATCTGCCAATCAAACTGCCAATCAAACCTGTCAATCAACTATTATCTGTCAATCAAGCTGGGGTGCGGCGAACTGTTCTCTCAACAGACAAACTCCCTTAGCATGCTTATCTCTCTATTTGGCCAATTTCTACTCTTTCCAGCCGCCTCCCCAAGCCTGGTAGAGGCTATCAAGCATGTCTGCCAATCAAACTTGTCAATCAAACCTGTCAATCAAACTTGTCAATCAAACTGTCAATCAAATCTGTCAATCAAATATTTTTCGTCAATCAAATATTATCTGTCAATCAAATATTATCTGTCAATCAAAACTGTCAATCATCCTACCTCAGTGGAAAGGTCGTCGACCTCCGCTCCGTGGCTGATGAGTGATCGCACACAGTCAGCCTGGGACTTCATCACTGCATACGTCAGGGGGGTTCCATATGTGCCCTGGGGGGGATACATGTAGGTTAGGGGGGTTCCATATGTGCTATGGGGGGAGGCACAGGAAAGCAGAGCCCCTTCCTCTCCTTCTACCGCCTTAGTTAACTGAAGTCTGGTAGCCATTTTACACCTGGGTGAGGGAAGTGGTGTGAAGTGCCTTTCCCAAGAACGCAACGTCTAGCCAGGAATCTAACCTATGACCTTTTGACCTGTGTCTGGTTGCCTAGCCACTTATTTCACCGTTAAGGAAAAACCCTCAAAATTTTTGTCTTTAAAGAATTTGATGTTAGCAGAAAGAAACAAACTTTTAAACCTAATATTCCACCTGTATTGCTGTTGCAAGTTGAATTAATAAAGAGAGAAAGAAAGAAAGAAAGAAACCTCAGAATTAAGATTTTAAAAAAATTGAAACATTTGCCTTTAAACTAAAGAATTTTGATGTGAACAGAAAGAAAGAAACTTGAAAGAAAACAAACTCTGAGCATGCATACCCCGTCATTCACATTGACCTTTGCCCCCAAGGTCAGCAGAAGGTCAAGGACCTCTGTGTTCCCCATCAGTGCTGCAACGTGAACTGCTGATGCGCCAAGGAAGGTCTGTGGGGAAGGCGAAGTACATGGTTATGAATAGGAGACTAGACAAACTGGAGCTGGATAGCACTTCTGTGTACAAACTGCTGATGCACCAAGGAAGGTCTGCACGGCATTGGAAATACATGGTTATGAGCAGGAAACTAGACAAACTGGAGCTGGCCAGCACTTCAGCCTCCCTGTTGTTTAGTTGGTTAGTTCCTACCTTTAAACAAGGCGCTTCATCTCACCTCCTCATTCTTATTGACGTCACAGCCACTCTTGATGAGGTCGTTGACCTTTGTGACATCACCTCGCTGTACAGCTTGGATCAAGGTCACGCTGTCCTGTAGGACAAACAGCACAAATAAACAAACAAACCCACGTATCACCTAATTCTGTCTATAGAATGTCAGTGTCAGATTGACCCCTGACCTGAGGGAACCAACTGAAGGTCACCTGAAGGACAAATGGAGACCTGACAGACAAGTTTTAGTCACTGTAATTAGATACACACCAGCCATGTTGTGTGCACTGGGGGATTATGGGAGCTCCAATGTACAACGCTCAGTGACTGAACATTTCTAGTCAAATACATGTACTCTCCAAGCAGAGGTTTGGGTTTGGGCTTATTTTTGAATCATGGAGTACTTTATGGATTACATTTTACGTAGCATAAAGGTAACTGCCTAAGTTTTATGTAGAATGAAAACGACCAAACACGTGTTATGGCTAATGTACTGATTATGAACTACGATAATTTTTGGTGACTAACTACGGATTACGAAGATATAAAAGGCCTGATTAAGCCTACTACGTCAACGAAAAAGGGCATGCAGGCCCTCCGTAATGTTATTGTGGGCACAAGTCAACAACCGTAACACGATTTACGCTGAATAGTGAAGATTAGATTATGTCTCAGCCTACTCTGATTCCAGTAGCAGGAACAGAAGCTAGCTGACGTACTCTAAGAAATCTCATTACCAGTTTAACGACGTTAGTGGCCTAACGATGTTAGTGAGGGACAGCTTCGGAACACAAGGTCACACTCAGAGGTCATCTGATAACTTCTACTTCTCCTTCAGGAGTCATAAATAAAATCTTGGAAGATCATTTTACAAAATCTCTGCACACCTTTAATATGTCAGGATCAAATGTATTTTCTAACACTTTGTGTTGTGTTAATTTCAAGAATGTTTATGAAAATTTTTGATCTTGATTTCAACACGTACTAGTAATAGACTGGGGGTAGTTTGTATACTGGTTGCTATTGCTGTCCCTGTTTAATGTCTAACACTGTACTTCCTGATTTTTTCCCTGTACTGTTATGTTCACTGTTTTCACAGTCATTTCTGTACTGTGAACTTATCATTACAGTGGGGTCGTGTGGCGCAGTCGGTAGCGCGTTCGGCTCACACCCCAGAGGTTGTGGGTTCGAACCCTGCCCATGTCACCGATCTTGTGCCCTTGGGAAAGGCACTTTACACGACTTTCCTCACTTCACTCAGGTGAAAATGAGTACCTAGCTTCGGTTAGGGACGTCCCTCGGATAGGACGTTAAATGGAGGTCCCGTGTTTGGGAGAGCCACACCCCACGCACGTTAAAGAACCCACCGCACTTATCGAAAAGAGTAGGGGATCTTCCCGGTGTGAGTGGTTCAAAACTTACAGTCCGGTCTTACGCAGCTTGTACATGTGCGCACATGTACAAAACTGGTGTGTTACGCCTGAAGGCGGTTTACCGGTTATGCGAAACAAACAAACAAACAAACAAACAAATAATTCCAGGACTTTCTTTTTCCTGCACCTGTCGCCACCGGGAATATATAGTTCTATGAACATTTTTCTCAGACCGTGAACATAGCTATTAACACGTGAACATAAAGTGAATTACATTATCTCGCCAGACCTAGTCTCTTGGTGCTGCTTTGTGCTTGGTTCAGTTCAGAGTCAAGACAAACACAAACACATACACCTCAACACAGACACCCCCTGGTATAGTCTCCACCAGGCCTTCCTAAAAGGTAACTGATTTATAGTAGAATTTGGCAAAATCGGTTAGCCTCTACCAGGCTTCAGATGCGGCTGGAAAGAGTAGAACTTGGCCAAATGACAGATAACATGAAGTACTGTTTGACCCTCCCGAACTCTGAGCTGCATTTCATCTGTCTGTTTGCCTAATTTCTACTCTTCCAGCCGCTTTTGAAGCCTGGTAGAGGCTAGAAACTGGTTCTGTTGTTGTTGTCCTTGTTTAACGTCTAATATCTCGCTAAACGTGGTCTCTTGGTGCTGGTTTGCGCTTGGTTCAGTTCAGAGTCAACTTGTCTCTCTCTAATAATTTTTGGTGCCTTGTTGTCCTTGCTAGAAGCTGGAAGAGTGCAAGTGTCTGAAGCCTGGTAGAGGCTAGCAAGTTACTTCCGCATCAACTGTCGACACAAAACCCGGACTAGGGACAGTTTTTCCACAGAAATCGGGCGGTTTTATCAGTTTTATCCACTCACCTCCCCCCATGTAGGGCTTGGGGCGGCCAGGATGGGAGAAATCGGCTCCATTCTCCGCAAACTTCACCCAAAACTACCGCATTTTTCACCAGAATTTCATCGCAGTTTTTATATATGTAAGGAACAGAACCCGGTTCCCGGTGAACTCTGACCTCCGTGACGTCAGGCGCGCGAAGGGCGCGGCCGGTGATGACGTAGTTAGCGCGGTTCGGAATGTTCCATTTCGGATGACTTGGAGGGGTGCCATTTGTTTTTACTTTGTTCAATTTTTAGAGGACGGAGGTGCCAAGGTCAATAAGATCACATTTCAACTTGTTACAGGTTTGCGATAGCAAAACCTGTTCTATTTTACCTGGATTTTATGGGCGCCGCCATTTTGTTTCCCGTCATGCAATGGGGCAGGTCAAAGTTGAGTGAGGTGCATTGTGGGACCTGTCACAGGCCTACAGTGTAAGGACGACACCTAGCGGTATGTTTGGAAAGAGCAGTAACTGAAAGCCTACCTGGTTGTGTGTTCATTTTGGCAGAAGTGTATAGAGGCGATGGCTTTGACGTAATAAAGGCGAGTCTGATTGTGTTTAGCACTTGACGTAATTTTCTTAGCATGACGGGAAGGAAACTTGGCGGACATAATGCGGCGGAACTTTAAAGTTGTTTTTTTTTATGATGAGATGGTGAGGCTTTGGTATTAGTAGGGTGGTCTTGAGGATCTTGTCGAGGCCGAGCCTAGGGACGACAGATTGTCCTCAAGTACAGGGGTTAGTAGGTGGGATAAGTGGCATGAAGTTTTGATATGAGTACACTTCCTGATTTCAAGTTCATTATGGAAATTGTAAGTTTTTTTCAAGCTTACCAGTCCATTATACAGTGACTGTATAGGCGTTTGTAAACGTTTTTACGACCTGCCTTTCAGGCTGCTTGAACTTAACAATGCCGTCGCTTGCGACTCTCCATCTGTCTGAAATCCCCTGTCCTCCACCCAACCAAGGAACATAATTGAAGTATCTGATCAAAACGTTAATTATAGCTCACTTTCAACCTATCCTGATCTAATCTAATTGTCATATCCCATAGCTCTGGTCATATCCATTAAATGACACCTTTTCCTTCTGTGTGAGGACTTCTGTGTGGGGTGAACATTTTTCCACGACATACTATACACTTGTGGGATGACCCGAGGCTCGGTGTGTCACCTCAACGGAAGCTAGCCTTGCCTACAGGTCAGCCAACTGCGCGACCCGATCTCCTACCTCTAATTTGCAGCCGTCAACTTCAATTGTAGGTTTTGCCCAGAGGGGCACGTCTGAGTCTACCCATTAAGTTCTAGCTGTATAACCTCTACCAGACTTCAGGAGACAGCTCAGGAAAGGGGGCCTGCAAGGGGGGTCCCGACAACGATCTATGCGCCCGGGCACTTGACTTGGGCAGGCCCGCCCGGGCACTTGACTTGGGCAGGCCCGCCCGGG